TCATTCTCCTCCGTGCCTCAGCAGCGGCGGGGCCCGAATCGGAAAAAGATGACTGCCCCTCTTTCCTCGAAAAGAGAGACAAATGAGAGCAGAGCTTTTTCATTGGAAAACGCTCGCAGTGCACGCTGATTGCCCCCTCGAGGACATCGGGTGCGTGCTCTTCGCCCAAACAAACAACGCATAGATTGTATGTGTCATCAGATGTTAAATAACAACGACACAGATGCACACATTCTCTAAATGCTTTGCTAGTGCTCGCCATAATGATATGAATAGAGATCACTCTTACCACAGAAATGCACGCTTCAAACAAAACAGTCAGTGAAGACGAAGATGTGTTCTCCCGGCGCCTGTTTATACTATAGTCACACCCAGAGGTGGGGGCAAGTCACACATTTTCAAGTCTCAAGCAAGTCTCAAGTCCCTACCATCAAGTCTCAAGCAAGTCTCAAGTCACAGTACAAACAAATCAAGCAAGTCAAGTCAAGTCAGTGGCTCACCTCAAGCAAGTCAAGTCGAGTCCTGCTAAGGATCAAGTCAAGTCAAGTCACAGTATCAGACAGGAACAAATATACCGCCAGTAAGTGGTGGCAAATCAATGCTTTATCACAGAAGCGTTCATTGAAGTGATTAATTCTGAACAGTTGATTCGTTCATGAACAAGCAAGAATGGACCACTGAATCACTCAACCGGTTCCTTCAAATCCCTGGATTCGTTCAGTATTGCTTAGAGACGCGCGTAACTCTTAAACTGTGGGCTGAACGGAACTGGCAGCCGCGCTGAAAATATTACTAAATATCGTATGTTATAAATATAAAAACACATACTAGGGCCATTTTGACAACATATCTTGGATTTTGGGTGCAAGAGAAACATCACTAATCGATAAAACACTGTAGTTTCCGTGGTACAATTCCATATATTGATTTACAAAGAGGGATGCTTAACACTAAAGCACTGTTGAGAGGTAAACGCCAGCGAATTTAAAGTTTGACATCGTTAATTAATTCCACACATGAGATTAATCATTTATAATCACTTTAATTTAATGACAGATTTAAGCTGAATTTTAAGACCAATGCTGTTTTCAACTAACGAACAAGCTTACATACCTTTCCTTTTTGAAGTGCCGACGTCCTGGCTTTGTAAATGCATACAGTTTCGAAGTGTTTATCCAAACATCTCGGGAGATTCTCTTGCTCCCTGTATTTGGCGCGCTGTGTTCCTGACTGTGCTCGTGCAGTGTCATGAACTGCGCAGACTCGGATCACTTCTGCCACTGGTTCAGTGTCTTGCGTTTTGTTTACCAAATTATGTCGCAAAGATTTATAATAATAATAATTAGAGTTGTTATAAAGTCAAGTCCTGCCGAGTCATGAAGGTCAAGTCTCAAGTCACTGGATCTCAAGTCCAAGTCAAGTCAAGTCATTTTCTTTATTTAGTCAAGCAAGTCACAAGTCCTTAAATTTGTGACTCGAGTCAGACTCGAGTCAAGTCATGTGACTCGAGTCCCCCACCTCTGGTCACACCGGTAGTGACGTCATGGCTGTCGCCGGCCAACGTGTTGTTGGTGTTTTTTCAATGTATGCTTCAGACACTGGTCATGACGAGGCGTTCCCCTTAGCGACCCCTAGAGGACACAGTTTGAAGTTCCCTTGAAAGGGAACATTAGTTCTCACATTAATTGATATACTGTTCTAGCCTGTATGCATGCATGAGGTAATGTGGATTTTTGTATATTCCTTTAATAATTCAAGAAGTCTTACATGCACTAAATAATGCTTTTTTGAATAATGTACCATAAGCATAGCTTTATCCACAATGGATAGTAAAAACCTTGTTTTTTGTGAACAAAGAAAACATCATGATCATGCGTAATAAATTACTCAAATGTACTCATCTTAGTTAATGTCTTAATTAAGGTGTTGTTCATCCATAAAGTCATGAATGAAAGACTTTGAACTCATGTTAGTTCCTGATAATTCATGAGATATTAATGCATGAAGCAATGCATAATTCACACATTAATTTATGCATGAATTCATGGTAATTCATATACCCTTACTGTAAAGTGTTACTGAAGATTATTTCTGTTGATGTGCTTCTATAGTGTATTATTTCATTTTGGATCCATCAATCGTGAATATGTGAAACATTTAAAGAGACTGAGGATAAAGCATTAGTGATGATACTTTATAGGGTCAATCTTAAATGGACTCCATTATCATGTCATGAGACTGTTTAGCTTAATTATTATTTAGTCCAAACTGTTTTATATAATGATTCATATAAGTCATGTAAGTGTTACTCTTTTTGAACCCAGTGAACATCAGACCACTTCTTTTCCATGGGGCCGCACTCTTCACACACTGACTGCCATCTCAGATGACACACTCTTCCTGTTTGGAGGCCTCAGTACTTCTGGGGATGTTCTCAGTATGTTTTTGTCAAGATTTTAGAAACAGTCATGTCTATAAATAACCACATTTTTTTGCAAACATTCCATATTTATTTTGTTTAGGCGATGGGTGGGAATTTAACACTAAAACAAGAGATTGGAGAGAGAAAGACCATGCACATAAAGACAAGCCCAGGTACAATAGCTTAAGTATTGTTATGCGCTGTATGAGCCATTTGTGGAGAAACTAAATTATAATGATGATGGTGATATAGTTTAGGCTTGAATCAGTGAGTTGTATCTATTTCCTCCCTCAGGTTATGGCATTCTGCTGATAAGGGGAGAGACAGTGATGTAGTCATTTTTGGAGGAAGCCAGACCTACCTCTTTGTAATGGATTCAGTATGTACAGCTTAATTTACAACAAAGGGCTTGTGTTTGTGATGTACTGCAGATTCATAAATAAATGTACATTTATCGCTGGAATATTCAGAGACTAATTCTGCTTTAAAAGACATATTGGCTCTGTTAGTTTGAACCATAAGCCTTGGGCTCTGAGCAGTGCACATCCTTGTTCATTGCAAAAAGAAACGCATGCAGATTAGACGGGAGTTTAATTGTGAGCATTAACTCAACAATTGTGTAACACATTAGCTCAGAGCTCTCTGCAGACTTTAGTTAGCTGGTATCCATCCAAGATCATGGATTGGTTGAACCCTTGTTTGATGAGTCACAGTCAAAGTAGATGCACTTGATCTGGTTTCTCCCTTTGTAGGTTGCAGTTCTCAGGTCTCCCTCTCAGAATCACTGTGCAGATGTACTAGTGTTTCAGACTCAACCGTACTCCCTGTCAAGGTAAAAGCCATCCTATTTACACACATTGCAACAAACAGCTCATCAAATAATTATGTTTAGGAAACACTTTATGTCTAAAGTCTAAAAATGTTGTTATTTGATAAGGGAATCAAATTCCCTTAATCAGGTTAGATGCCATATTGAATTTAATACAGACGAAAACAAGGCTGTGATCGATAGACTTAGTCATTACAATGGCATGCACTGTATAAAGGTACTAGATTACATCATTTTCAACTTTGTTTTATCGAATTTTGTCTACTGAAAGTAGTTTTTGTTCCAGAAAGACTTTTCATCAGCTGAATATGTTGATATGTTGTTTAACAACAGTACAATCTATTAAACACATTTACTGATATCCTTTACAGCTTTGTTTTCATTCCTGTCAAAAATTAAATATGCCACTACCCTGACTATTATTCACCATATATTATGTTTTCTTTGTAGATTATGTGAAGACTGCATAGGCAAACACATATTTTCTGTCCAAGAGCAGGCGTCGTGGTTACCGGCCAAGCTTCAGAAGACAATTGGCAAGAGGATATCCTATTTCAGGGCAAATGCTCAAAATATAGATGCAGGTTCATTGGTTCATAAGGGTGGTCCTTGATTATTTTAAGAATATTTCTGTCCAAGAACTCCAATTAAAGAATTCCAAAAACAATTAAATACAATTATTAATTTTAAAATTAAACATGATGATTATTATTATTGTTATTATAAATTGAGCAATTATGTTCTAAAAACCCTTTGACGTAAAAAAATTATAATAATTTGTATAAATGTTAGTAGTAGCCCAATGTATAATTGCAGCCCTTGATGTTGTTGACCCAAAAACATCAATAAGTCACAATAAAACAAACAAATAAGATTGTTTCATGGGTGCCCAACATTGCCACTTACACTTTAAAAACTTTATCACTTTATTATTCAATATAATGGACTGGAATGCTTTTGTTACAAAATAACAATGGAATGATATTCTATACTTTTTATATTTATTTGATATCTATTTTTTGCTGATTCCAAGTATTCCCTCAAAGTGCAAAATACAGTATTTTACAGAGGGAGTCTGTAACTGTTCTGCAGTGTTTGACCACAGTTTAAGAGTCTGTACTAAAGACATTGTTTGCTTGATGAATGTTGTTCATTCATATGCCCATTTACATAATGTAAACAATTTAAACAGAGCAGTGAAGTGTTACACAACCCCATCAAAATAAACACCAAAACAAAAACCCTGTGGGAAAATATGGAACTAAAAAATTGACTAAAGTTTTAGAAACAAAAATTGCAGTAATTGAAAAAGAAAATCCATAAATTCAGTGGTTCAAATTCAGCAGAATATTCAACATTGCAAATCTGGGAACTGCAGGTACTGCTGTTAGTCACAAAAACTGGTTTGCCGAAATGGATCAAGTGGTAAGCATTTGTTATACCCCCCCCAGGATGTTCCTGGATGTGCAATGCTGAATATTCTTCTGAATTTGAACCACTGAATTTGTGATTTTCTATGTTGAATTTGTACTTTGCGTGGATACCCACTTATATAATAATAATAATAATAACAATACGTTTTATTTATATAGCGCCTTTCAAACACCCAAGGACACTTTACATAAGGTAGATAACCGATAGTATACAACATATAAACAGCCCAACAGCAGACAGAGGTGAAATAATATGCAATATACATAAGTTACAAAAGCATAGAACAGAACATGAAGGCAAGCAATTAATTAATTAAGAAACATTGTAAATTGGTGAGTTTTGAGAGCAGTTTTAAAGGTCTGGAGTGAAGAAATAACACAGAGATCTTGTGATAAGTTTATTCCAGAGCTTGGCAGTGGAAATGCAGAAAGCCCTACCACCCACACTAGATAGCCAGAATTTGGGTACTGCAAGCAAATTTTCAGAGCTCGATCTCAAAGTACAGGCAGGGACATAGGGGAGAATTAATTCAGAAAGGTAAGAAGGTGCTAAACCATGACGGACATTGGAAACTAAAACAATTATCTTAAACTGAATACAATAGGTGACAGGGGGCCAATGTAATTGCTGTAAAACCGGAGTGATGTGGGCAGATTTTTTGATAAATGTAAGAACACGAGCATCTGAATTTTGGATAAGCTGCAAGTGATTAAGGACTTTGTTGAGTAGGCCATAAATCAAGGAGATACAGTAATCCAGACGCAACGTAATAAACGCATGAACAACAGTTTCAGTAGGCTGAACAGGTCGTAGGCGGACAATATTACAAAGGTGAAAAAAAAAAACAGGATTTGACAAGCTGATTGATGTGGGATTAAAAATGTAGACTACAATCAAACATTATACCATGATTGTGTTTAGTGGAAGAGGGATGGACTATAACTCTGTCAATGTTAATGGAGTAGTCAGGTTGGGAGGAGACAAGGGATCTAGAGCCAGCTGTTTTTCCAGTATTTAACTTTAAGAAATTTTGGGCCATCTATATTTTGAGATCATGTAAGCAAGATGTAAAGGAAAAAGGGGGAAAACGTGACAGAATGAGATTTGGATTTATCAATGCTAATCAACTGTTGCCTGTCTGAGAGATATGAACCCAGCCACTGTAAGACAGTATAAGTAATGCCGATCTCCGACAAACGAGATAGCAGTACAGAATGGCAAACAGTATCAAAAGCTGCACTCAGGTCTAAAAGAACCAGAAGGCTAAGGGCACCCGAATCAGAAGCAAGGAGGAGGTTGTTCACTACTCTTAGAAGGGCAGTTTCTGTACTATGGAGAGGGCGAAATCCGGACTGAAATTATTCATACAGATTATTTTTATCCAAGTGAGTCTGTAATTGTTTGGCGACCACCTTTTCTAGGACCTTAGATAAAAAAAGAAGGTTAGAAATTGGTCTGAAATTACATAGAACTGTGTTGTCAAGTCCAGGTCTTTTAAGTACAGGGGTGATCATAGCTATTTTCAATCCAAGCGGTACATAACCAGTCGATAGGGAACAATTTATTATGTGGGTGATGGGAATAATGAGAGACGGGAGAAAGTTTTTGAGTATGTGTGTTGGAATAGGATCTAGCTGATAGGTAGAGGAGTTAGAGTTCATAATCAGTTGTTCAACCACAGATGTATTAGTGAGTGAGAAGTTTGAGAGTGGGTAAAGTATCTGGGAAGTAGTAAAGGATTGCTAAATATTGTACATTTTGTGTGTAAAAAAGTCAGAAAATCATCACAAAGTTCAGAAGAACCATTAAGAAGGGGTAATGGTGGTTTAACAAGTTTGCTGATCTCAGAGAATAGGGTCTTGGGCTTGCACTTTGCTCTGTTAATAATAGTGGACAGGTAACTAGAGCATGCGGTGTTAAGTGATTTTTTTTTTTATACTGTGATATGAATTCTGAGTGGAGGGACGCATGAACGAGAAGACGAGTCTTCTTATAGAGCCGTTCAAGATGCCTACCCTTCGCTTTCATGGTCTGAGCGCCGGAGTAAATCAAGGGGAAGAATGAGCTGAAGGGACAGTTCTGGACTTTAATGGGGCCAAAGCTACCAAGACATTTGATGTTTTGATATATATTAAATCTAGATATCTATTAAATCTCAGCTGGAGGAGAACATGGGAGAAAATATTCCAGAGGAACAGTGGGAAGAGATTCTACGCCGTGTGCACTCTTCTTCCTTTTGTGCCAGACATGGTCTGATTCAGAATAAAATTCTTCACCGCATCCACTGGACCAAAGTTAGACTTTCAAAAATATATCCCAAAGTGGATCTTACTTGTGACCGTTGTCATCAGGCCCATGCAACCACTTCGCACATGTTTTGGTCCTGTCCATCTCTACAGAAATATTGATCCCAGATCTTTAAAACATTGTCTGAAGTTCTTAAAAATCATAATGAACCTCTGGCTTTCACAGCTTTATTTGGTGCCCTTCCCCCATCTCTTGATATGCCCAAGTATAAGTGATTTCGTAGCTTTTGTCACACATTTAGCAAGACGTTTAATTTGACTAAACTGGAAATCGCCTGTACCTCCTACTCATTCTTTATGAATTATAGGCATTTTCCATTTCATTAAACTAGAAAAAATCAGACACACAATGAAGGGATCTTCTGATAATTTCTATAAAATTTGTGGACCCTTCCTAGATTGTGTAGGAAAATGAAAGACCCTCAATCACCTAAGTATACAGTTCCTCCGGTTGTAACTCCTTCCTTCCCCCAGTATATAGATTTTGGATTACCAAGCATTTTAAGGTCTTTTATTTAATTCTTTAACCATTTGCCTTACTATCATTATGTTGCTATATTATTATTATTATTTATGTTGTTGTGTGTTTATTATTATTATTATATATTTTTTTCTTTGTATGCGTGGTTGAGTTTTGATTTATGGTTGTTTAGTTGTATAACATGGGTACCTCTATTAATCATTTAAGTTCTCCTTTTTTATTCTTACGTTATGTTAAATACTTTTTTTCTTCCTTCAGTGTTCACTTTGTTCTGTTGCTATTTGTCAAATGGACCCTTTTATTAACTAGAGAGACATACATGGATATCTGTATATGTTTTGGAATTGTATGCTGTATTTTGTTTATATGGAAAAATGTAAATAAAGTGAGGGAAAAAATGCAAGCAGTTAATGCAATGCATTTTTTTCCAATTATTGCAATTTAACACGTTTTTGTTTCAAAGACTAGTCATTAATTCACTTCATATAAATAAAAGCTTACTCAATCAGTTTTTTTTCTAAGTGTAACAGGGTCAAAAGGGTATTTCCACTTGCTACACTCGTTTTCGTGTATGGTCCCTTTGGTTGCACTCTACCTGCACACTCCACCCAGATAGTGAACTGGTTCCGGTAGGGTCATTTAGATTCGCGCCAGCCGAGAGGGTGACTGGCTGCGGTGAGTGAGTGCTCTGTGATAAAAGTATATTGTATTAATTGTATAACCATCTTATGGACTAATATCGATAAATACGTGTGTTTAAATGAGTACTGTATGATTTGTGTTCATGCTACACTATATTTGTGGTAACATCAAGTTTGTTCGCCTTATTATAGAGCATGCACGAGGGTGATTTGCGAATCTGATCACCGCTGTTTAATATGTTGTCAACAGGTACATATTTCTCAATTGTGTTGTTGTATAACTGTTTATATAAATGTTAGTAATTTAGATTCGCGCCAGCCGAGAGGGTGACTGGCTGCGAGCATGCACGAGGGTGATTTGCGAATCTGATCACCGCTGTTTAATATGTTGTCAACAGAATAAAAGTCTGTCTTCAAGCACGAATTGGTATCCATTCTGAGTTTTACACAACACAATGCAGAGACAACCCGTTACAATGGTGCCGTGACCATGACTCTGGAAGCAGCGTGCTGAAACGACTAATCGGAGAATTCCAGAGGAGTTCGTGCCGTGGGTGACGAGAGAGTTTTCGCGTCGGAGCTGTTTGGCGCAATACCGTGTTTTAAAGGAACACATTTCACCATCGAGAGGAGCAAAGTTCTGGTATTGTGGTATCCATTTGAAAGCATTATTGACTTATTTTACAACAATAGCCATTGAAGATTGAACTTTGAAGTAATTTTTTTTTGTGAAAAATAAAAAAAAATTTTTTTTTGAGGGTTATTGATAAGTATTATTGTGGAGAAGACTGAAATCTGAACTAATACAGTTTTACAGAACTTTGGACTGGGAACATTTTGAGAACTGAAGATTTTTTTGTTTTTATTTTTTTCCTCCTGAGTTTCTTATCAATAAAAGGAGTGTA